ATCCAGGCTCCTAAATCTGTGATTATAATTGCAAGCTGTATAAGACAAAAGCCAAAGGACTTACCACTAACCTAGGTTACATGTACAATGCTATGTTTTCTGTACATAAATATAAAGTGCAAAATTGACAACTGGAAGGCATTCCCCTACATATGGAATTGGGGTGGGTGGATGGGAGGGGAGGGTGTTTAGAGTGCATGTGAGAGGGCAGAGAGGGTAAAAGGGAGGGAAGGAGAGAGGGAGGGCTAGACGGAGGGAGGGAGGGAGAGGGAACTGGGATCGACATTTAAAAAAATATATTAAACTAAAAAAAAATGCTTTGACTCCAAAATTTAAGTTGAAGGACAAGTTAGTGGGGAAAAGGATTTCTATTTTAGTTTCCACAGTAAATGAAAAGATGTGGATTCCTTCCAGACTAATGTGGTTTGATCACGCCAGACCGCCTGAAACAGAGTACAAGCTGATCCTACATCCTACATTCAAAACAGCTGGACAAAACAGCCCTACAGACTACAGCCAGGATATCTGAATCTTCTTCGAATCCCCCATGACAGGGCCCCTTACCAGCAGGAAGTAGTTTGAAAAGAACGACGCCCAAATTCCCAAATATTGGGTATAAATGTTTGTTTTCATTTAATTGGACTATGTTATATAAAATTAAATAAAATTAAATAAAATTAAATAAAATAAAATAAAAAAAAAGGAAAAGTAAATGGATATTGGCTTGGTTTTACAAAAGAATTTCCAACAATTTCTGAGATGGTTCTTAACAATTTTTTTTTCATTTTTTCAGAAATACTCTTTCCACATTGATGGTTATAAATTCACAATTTCTGTCAGCTATGAAAATAGAGGGTGTGGTTATATTCTGTACAAAGTATTAAACCAAAATTTATTATTTATGTTAAAATAGCAAGTAAATGTTACCCCACTCAATTATTTTTCTCCTTCAATAAATGGTGAAATCAGAAGTATACTAAAGAATTATTTTAAGAATAAATTTATCTTACTATTGGGTATTTGATTTGTATACCTATTTTATATATTCAACACCTAAAATAATGGAAAAAAATTCTTATGAAATGGGTCTCATAAGTTGGAAAGTTAAAAAAAAAAAGCCTTGAGTTTAACAAAAATAAGTTTTCCATATCTTACTTTCTTAAGATAATACTAACAGGATTTATATATGCTGTTAAAATTGATGTTTTTTTCAAGATTTAGTAATATTTCATTGTGGAAATATATTACATATTCTCCATTCAGTCATTTGGTAGTGTCCATAACATTTTCTCTAATATATTGTTTATTGTCGATAATATTTTATGGCATTAAGAGTACTCATGAATTTATGATTCTAATTCCCAGTATTTGGCATAGAAATTTGAGGGTGTACTTACTAGATCAAGTGGTAGTCTTTGTGATACCCATATCGTGTTTTGCATTCTTTACCAGTATACACCCACAAACAGCAGGAAAGAGCCTTAATTTCTACCTTTCATTGCCAGTATTCATTATTTGTTCTAGAAGAGCCATCCTTTCAGCTAATATTAAGCATCTCAATATGACACTGAGCTGCAGTTTTCATGACTGTGGATGTCATTGAATGCATTATTATTTAGTCTTTGAATAGTAATGTCTTGTTTTGAACAACATACAACATTTTAGCATATTTATTTTTGTCTTTATAGATTAATATATAAGTAAGAAATATGAATAGATATATATCATACATCGTTTATATTTTGTACATATACACATTGCAAAATCGCTAATTCAAGATTAAAATGTTAATCTTCTCAAACATTGGCTTTTCTTAAGCTGGTGATATTCCAAATCATTTCCTCTAACATTTTAAAAAGTTTATTTAGTATATATTATGTGGAGACAAAATGGTACAGGTCTCTTTATATTTGAAATTATATCAGTCAAGGCTTGTTTTTTTTTTTTTTTACTTGTTTCTAAACTTGTTTATTTAACATTTTTTAATTGTTCTTTCTTTCTTTATTTATTTTATATAACCAAGTCCATTTAAATGAAAACAAACATTTATAGACAATATTTGGGAATCTGGGGTGTCGTTCTTTCCAAACTACTTCCTGTTGGTAAGGGGCGCTGTCATGGGGGATTCGAAGAAGATACAGAAATCCTGGCTGTAGTCTGTAAGGCTGCTTATTACAGCTGTTTAGAATGTAGGATGACCTGGTACTCTGTTTCAGGTGGTTTGGCTTGATCAAACCACATTAGTCTGGAAAGAATCCACATATTTTCATTTTCTGTGGAAACAAAAATAGAAATCCTTTTCCCCAGTAACTTGTCCTTCAACTTAAATTTTGGAGTCAAAGCACTTTTTTTATTTAATTTATTATTTTACATGTCGATCCCAGTTCCCTCTCCCTCCCTTCTTCCCTCCCTTCAAGGCTTGTTCTTAACATCTCTATCCATGACTTTGTACTGGGAGTGTTTTCTTCTGCCAAACAAAGCTACTAAAAAGATTGATATTGATCAGTAGTCATATCTATAAAATTCAAAATACCAGAACACTGAAAGTACTCTTATTTGATCTCTAAGAGCACTGTTTGGTGGAAAAGGTTTTCATATATATATAACAATAACTACTCTATGGGATTTGCCTAATTTTCTATATTATGCTTATAAATTTCCTATTCTGATTTCTACCTGCTGGTGAGGGATAAGCACTCAAATGAATATAATTAAATAAATACATACAAACACATTCTAAAAAATCTTCTTGAAAAGAAAGATAACTAATAACATAGAGACATTGACAAATGAGTTGCGGGCTATCAACATTTGAGTGTATAAGGCTGAAGCTGGTATTCTGATCTTAAAGATAAAATGGAAAACATAATTGATATTTCTAAATCTCACTCACATCCTCTCTAACAGACATATGCTCAAATTCCCCAACAGTCATGTATTTTGGAAATTAACAGTTAACATTCCTACTCTTTTCTGGGCAATTTTAATTTAAGGTAACTACCTTAAGACCATGTAGTGGACAACAAATCACTGCCATGGTCTTACAAAATGAAGTCTCTCTTCCTTAAACACCATGGCCAGTCAATTGTGTGATAGAATATGATTTACACCTCCCCAAGGTTCTAGGCTAAGGTTAGATATCTGTTGGGATCAAGTCTTCTCATCACCATTTTTTTTTTTTTTTGCTCAATTGATTCTTTCTCATTATTTTATTATTATTTAGAGTTCAGGTTTAATAAATTCTCAAATAGAGAAAAATAACTTGTTATACAGGAGGGTTAGAAAGAATCAAACTGTAAGTTCTGGTTTATATTTTTCAATGAATTTAAAATAGTACAATAGGAGAAGTATTTGTAAAAGTTAATGACCATTTCTTCATATCCAACAGAAGGATTTATTCTACATTGTCTGAGGAAACTATCATGGCCTTCTGCGAAAGCATGTTGCTAGAAGACATTGAAAGGCATTGAATAGTCTCCTTAGGGATCACTCCCACCACCCAAATTAGATTGTAGACCAATCTAAATTTATATCTACTTCAAAAAGTGACCTGTGAGTTTGTATAGTACATTACAAAGGTTTGTATGATTAGACCAATTTATCCAGAAACATGTGTAATGATGGAGAAACAACCATAAGTTGTATCAGATTAATTTTATTTATACATATGCAGTAGGTTAAAATCCATCATTAAGTTGAACCTCAGGCATTGATGGACAGCCCTGTCAAAGTATGTGTCAGCAACATGACCAAAAGTGTGTCCACAGTGAGTAAAAATATATAGACAATTCTATACATATGAATTAAAAATCAATTTTAAAAAAGGAAAACAAATGATATTTTTGGGTGGGAAATGTATGAGAAAGGATAGAAACAAAGGGGGAAATAACATAACTATATTTTACTTTTATAAAAATTTAAAAGTTTATGGGTGGACAATATTGTTCAGTCCATAAAGGTACTTTCATGGCAAGCCTGGTATTTGGTGTTTGATCTTTGGAAACCATATAGAGGTGGATGGAGAAAAATGACATTACAGAGTTTTCCTCTGGTTTCTACTAAAACAGCACCAAAGGTATATCCAATGATGTGTTTACTTTCACTAACCCAATAATAACAATAAATAAAACTTAAAGATTTGAAAATAGAATAAATAAGAAAGGAAAGAATTATTGTCAAGGAAACTGGAATGTTGGTATAATTTACAATTTAAGTCCTATACATAATCATGGAAGAGACTAGAATATAATTTTGATAAAAATTGTAAACAAATTTATTAATGAAATGACTGATGCACTGAAATGTTCTCTAATCATTATTCTCTTCGGTCAGACCCTACTGTGGGAAAAGGTTACTTAATGAACAAATATCTATGATAAGTAACTAATGAAATTATGGGATGGAAAAGAATCACTGGTCACAAATTAAATGTCAAAGGTATAATGTATCTATAACAAATAACATTGAAAAGAGAAGTCAAAATTTTCTAACCTGAAATGTAGTCTACTGGTACTTGGCATAAATCAGAACCAGGGTGTGTGTGTTTGTATGTGTGTGTGTGTGTGTGTGTGTGTGTGTGTGTGTGTGTATGTATGTGTGTATTTGTGGTTTTGTTTTTTTGTGTGTGTGTTTGGGTGGGTGGTTGTGTATGCGTTTTGGTAATGAAGCAACCTGAGTTAAACTATTCCCATATGGGGCATTTATTTATGCTTACCTCTGTGTAACATACATTTAGCAGTTATTTGTTTCTACATTATGTAAGTTATCCATATTGGGATATCCAAAATCCAATCTATACATTCAATTCCTTCTCCAGTCCATCTAAGTTGCATCATGAAGTTGCATGATTCTTGGTTTATTTGTCCTCTGACTGAATCTTTCTACTAAATAGTCTCTTAATGGCATTTTTCATTTGATTATTTCTCAAGGTGTAGATTAATGGGTTTAGCATGGGAGTTATCACAGCATAAAAAATAGCAACTGATTTGTCAAGGGGTAATGTACCTGCAGGTCTCATGTACACAAATGTGCAGGGTACAAAAAGTAAAACTACCACTATAATATGAGAAACACAGGTAGAGAGGGCTTTGCGCCTTCCTTCTGCACTGTGGGTTCTTAGTGTATAAAGGATGACCACGTAGGAGATGAGCAGAAGGAGAAAGATTAACAGACAGATGAAGCCACTGTTGGCAGCAACAAAGAAACCTAGATTGTGGGTATCAACACAGGCTAGATCAAGCAAAGGGTTCAGATCACACATAAAGTGATCTATGACATTAGGGCCACAGAAAGGTAGTCTAATAATGAAAAGAATTTGTATACCTCCATGAAGAAAGCCTCCAGCCCATGAAACTCCCACCAGTAAATTACAGAGTCGTCTGTTCATGATGGCTGCATAGTGCAGTGGTTTGCAAATGGCAACATAGCGGTCATACGCCATGACAGTAAGCAAGATCACCTCAGCACCTCCAAAGAAATGTTCCCCAAAGACTTGGGTCATGCATCCATTGAATTGAATGGACTTCCTTTCATGGAGTGAATCAACAATCAGCTTAGGAGTACTGACAGAGGAGTAGCAGGCATCAATGAAGGAGAGATAGGTCAGAAAATAGTACATAGGGGAACCCAACAGTTGGCTGTTTGTAATGGTGATCAGAATGAGCAAGTTTCCTACCACAGAGACTATGTAGATGACCAAAAACACAGCAAATATGATTTTCTTCATATGTGGGTTCTGTGTGAGTCCCAGGAGCACAAACTCGGTCACATTGTTTCTGTATTCCATCTAGTTCTTGAGACAGTTAATCATATTTCCTAAATGAAAAATGATACATACTTATGTTTATTTATTTTCTAATAATTAGTGTTTATATTTTGTTAATATTAATGAAATATCATATTTTCTTTTAATATTTCAGAAAGAGTTCTACATAGTTATGACTACTTTTGACTATAGAGTTGCCTAATCAATAAAGATAGCTGAAATGTTTATGGATATGAACAACGTTTTTTAATAAACTAGATAATCATAAGTGTGCTGAATTTTGGGAATGATTCGTAGCCTAAAAGTAGTTCTGATTAAACTCCTAAAGGCAGTTAAAGTCACAATGGATAGTGGGGTATAGAGTAATTGAGTGTAATAGCCATTAAAGTAAAGTAATTTTAACAGTTCATTTATAGGGTATGTATAGGCATAAAACTTATATCAGATTTGAGTGGGAAAGTATTAGTGAATTTGAGTAAGAAAGAACCTTGTACACTTATATCATAAACTAAGCCTTGCCATGGCTAAAACACACTGGTATTCACCAGTTAGTCATGTTAGAGAAGCTAATAGCAAGAGAAGGAGTCACATTAGCATTTTAAAAACTAGGTGTAAAAATACAAATATTTTGATCTAGATTTAAATTCCATATGTTATATGCAATTACATAGACAATAAAACAAGAAATCAGAACAGAAATTTGTATAAACAGTTCAGTGGAGATGGTACTGAGTGCATAGTGAAAGTAAGCTTTTGTTATTTGCTACAAGCTACAAGATCACACTGTAATTATGCAACCTTTGCATCAAGAATAACTTAGAAGAATTAAGAATTCTTTGGATAGATCAAATCAGTACAAAGTAGTACCTGACATTATAATGTCATGGATGAATTAGCTGTGTCTTGCTGTAGTTTCTTCCTGTAGCTTATCCCTTTCTATAACAAACTTGGGATTTTCTTCCTATAGTTCAGCACCATCTGTTCATTTACTGGGAACTAATTTCTCACGTGCATTTAGAGTTTTACTGATTATACTCTGTAGTTATGTGCACATACCTGCTCTCCATTAACAGGTCCTACTTTACTGATTATATTCCTTAGCTATGTGTGAGGCCTGTTTCCCACTATCAATCTTTGTTCCCCTCTGCACTGTAATCCCAGAGATCTGCCTTGCTGCAATTACCTTTATTTACAGGCATTTGGTCAGTGTTTAGGGCCAAGGAAAAAGCATCCCATCTAAGACATCCTATGTCCTTGGATGGACATAGAATTACTATTTGTCCAAAGCTGTTAATACATAGCTGCCTAGATGGATAGAAAAAATAAGCATGCCCTTGGCTTTACCTCACTGGCAGATTGAGAAAGCAATAATGTAAACAAATGCTGTACTACATGATTCTCTAACTTCTTGTATTAACTCAAGATTTTAGCTCAGAGGTTTACTGCTCCCCTGTTTCCCCTTGAGAAGATAAAGTCAAAGGTAATTTGCTCAACCTCTGGGAGAGGGAGGGGGGAAGTAAACATTCTTAAAGGCCTGTGCTGCCACTGAGACTAGAGCACTCTGGAAGGTGCTAGGTTTTGTTTCTTGTGCCAAATTAAACTTAGACCCTCTCTTTGACCTACAATCCTAAGTAACTGATGCCAAAAGTTCCTCCTAGCAGTTTTAGTTTATTGCTCTGAGTGTAAATATTATCTACCTTGCTGACCCTCAAGCCTCGTATTGTATTATAAAAAGATTACTGTTGCAAATGTATATACACCTGTACCACAGAAACAAACAGGACAGCAAGAGAGAAAGAGAACAGAAGAATAAAGAACATGCAGAGGAATAAATGTGTGTGAGTCAATTCCTTTTCCCCTCAGATTTTAGTTCCCTCTCTTATTTGTAGTTCTGTTTTTTTTGAACCCTGAGTGAAAGTTTTAGAAGTCAGACTTTTAAAGTTTTTGATAGTTATTGTACAAAGTCCATAATACTTAACCATGTGATAATTCTAAAATAGTCTATACCAAGACTGTGTTCATCCACTGGTCACCAAGTGTTTTGCACACAGGACTGCTTTTAATACTTTAAATAGTCTGAAATGTTGTTTTCCTTTGTCAATTTAGAGAAAAGAACATAAGTGAGATCTCTAAACACTGGCTTTCAATTAAGGGTTCTTTTAAACACTGGCTGGTTCAGTTCTTCATATATACCAAACAGATGGTGTCATCATTTTACACCAGTTGCATATTTCCTTCTATGTAATATAACAGAGAAATTATATTTCCTGCCTCAGAAAAACAGAAAATCTGGCAATGTTAATTACATTACTTTACTTCTTCCAATTATTTTTATCTCCCAAATTTTAAAGTATTATACACTTCAACTCATTGAACTATATAATCATATTATTGTGTTAAACAAGCATTGGTCCCACACTATCTTAAATATACTTACTAGTATAGCATTTCAGAAATAATTTTATTTGTTGCACATTTATAAATAGGCCAGATCATAGGCTGATACACAATAAAATATTTGATAGTTTAGCCATTCAAACAATGACAGTTGCTCTATTCTTGGAAGCACTCTTACAACTTAGCCCACCTTAGATCATCCTTTCCATGTATCCTTACATAGTAAAGGTTGGAAAACTCTAGGGAAGACTGTGGAACTGTGCTGCAGTAGTAACACAATATGCCAATTCAAGAATTGTAGAAACAAAATTAGAGTTCTGGTTCTTCCTCTTGTCATTTACCTTGGGTTCATTTTCTGGCAATCAAACATCTGCCTCATCATCTGTCTATAAAATAAGAATAAAAATGATATTACATAATTTACTATAAGAATTTGCTAAAAAGGAAAAGCATACACACAATACTACAATTTATTTTTAAATTATGAATACCAATACCAGACAAATATTGTTGATAACTTGGGCAGTAACACGGAGAAACACTAACCTTCCAATAACTTGTGAGGAGTCCTTTTTAATACTTTCAATAAAACTAAAGAGACTTTTAATACTCATAACACACAACTCCAAAATTAATTATCTGTGTTTGTACTTGGAATCATAAGCTTATATTTACTCACTAAAATTTATATTTAGGATTTTCAATCAAGCTAAACTGTGCTCAACCTCATGAATAGACTGTTTATAAAAGAGGTATCTCAGGATAAAACAGTGATGGGTGGATCTAAGTCACCTATTCATATTTGGGTCTCAAATGGTCTGACATGAAATAAATCCTGAAAACTAAACAAATATCTTGAAAAAATTAGGGTGAGGATGAAATACTCTGTCTTTATTTGACAAACTTTGAAAGAAAAATCTCCTGTGTACAAAAAAAATCACAGCATCAACTAAGCATCAGTAGTGTTGCAGGACATACCTTAGCAGATGTAGCTCTCAATGTGAGCTCTTGATTATTCAGAAGAGATCTGGGAGGATGGACTTTCAGTATGAAATCTCAACAACTATAAAAATCTCCAAACAACATGTCATAAATAGTGTCTCCATAGAAAAATCCTTCCCTAATCCTAAAACAAACATGTTTCACTGACAACATGGAGCTTGATCTAGAATGGATTCTTTTAATACACTATGCAGAGATTATCTTTGGTTTCTGCTTCTGGTCCTTCATTCTGAAAGGCAGGGGCTAGCAAGGTTGCCGAATACCCTCCATAGGACTCACTCTACTCATGGTGAATCTTTCAATATATGTGATGAGCAATGATACAACATTTGTATCCTGCATTCCAAGGGTATTTAAAGAAGTTGTCATGGATTTCAATGATCTTGCTATTGTGCTTTGTCTCCTAGGAATTAATTATTTATTTTGTTGGAAAGACTCTGTCTTAGAATCCAGTGTTTTGGAATATATGCATGACTCACACCCACTCTTCAATAGAGAATAGAATTCCCCAAGCTTAAAAAGACAGCATATAGTTTTCCCTTGCTCTGTCTAATTGTGTCTGATCAAGAAAACTGAATGCCAGGTAAGCAACAATAACTTAATACTAACATTTGCAATAGGAGTACTGCTTCTCTCATAATAAATAGGACATGGGAAATATTTGTATTCTTATCATTATGACATTATTTCTGAACAGTTGCTTAATAGTTAAAAAACTGAAGGTAAAAAAATTGACAGCCATTTTTAAAATAATATATTCAGAAACTTTTCCTCCAATATTTCTGAGGGCTTTGGATCTTTTCCAGATTTCTACAAGTCTTCAAACTGTATTCATTTCCTTGTTATGTTTATAAGTAGGGTTAGTTTGCAGAGCCCTGTATCAAAACAAAATCAAACAAAAAACTCAAAGTGTGGGTTTCAAGCTTATCCCATTGTTTTATTGGTTACTCAACATTTAATCATATCTGCCCCTGTCCCTACCTCCAATGGGAGTGGTCAGTGTCACAGGTGCAAGCAAAGTGAATATTTTAATACAATTACCCTTTTGGTTTAAAGAAATGATTTAGGCTTGATACAAAACTATATACAAAACAGTGAATAACAAGTGTTCTCTAAGAAAAGGAAAATTGAGGACATACAAACTGAAGTTCTACATATCTAGTCCTATGGGGAAGGCATAACAGAGTTTACAATAGAGTTGTCTTAAGCTGGAAAGCTTAAGTCTAGTAGCAAATATATCTAACTAGGAAGAGAGAATAGTAATTGTGACAGTCTAATCTTCAACCTCTTCAAAACCAGAGAAGGAAGATAACAATGCTAGAGTATGCAGGAAGTATGGATGGGCAACTTCTAAATTGTGTAGTGAGGAGAGAAACAGCAAGCTACATTGACAGTTACCCAACAACAGCACTGGTACAACAACAGTTCTCACAAACAGCATTGGTACAACCAGGTTTGGCTAAAGCCTAGAGTATCTGACAGACCACAACAGAAGCAAGGAGGCAGAAAGGCTGTCTTACCCTGATTTGGCAAGGTTCAGCAGTCTTCTATGTTTGTCTCCTGCAAGCATATAGGACCACACATTCAAATCACTGGTCAAGGTGGGGGCAGTTCTTTGCCCA